TATTACTATAATGTTCCCTTTCTGCAAATAGATCCCCCTTAAATCCTACACACTGGTCCTTTAAGACTATTAGATCACTCCAGGCCTGCCTGGTCCCAGCTTATCATCCAGTGCATTCCCAATAAGAGACTTGTTTCTGACCCAGTACAGCCACAGTTGAGTGTATTTGAAGGGGGGGTGTAACACAACAGACCCCCAAAATAAACCCCTCAAGCCTGGAATAGTTCCCCAGCCCCGCCAGCCTGCACATAACACGTGAGTGTGACATGTGTTTCTTGTTTCTTGTTTCTCTTGTACACACATTTTTACACACACGTTTACACATACAAACACACACTCTGCCACAGCCACCCGTCCCAAAATCCATATTGATTGTTCCACCAGAGAGTTGCTGTTGTTGTAGTACTTTGAGGTCATGTTGCCAAATTAGGTGTTGCAGTGGAAAACCAGTTGAGAGTTTCACTTTTGGGATCATTGTATAAACATTTCAGCCTTCACACTATTTCTCCCTTCTGCCTATTTCAGTCAAATCTTATCAGTGTTGGAAGTTTAAAAATAACACAACTATTACAGTAGTTGTAATGATATTGCCATTGTTTCTGTGGTTGAGCTGGCAGTGTGTTTGCATGTTTGTGTTTGTTTTGCTCCCATGTGTGAAAATACTACAGTTTCTGGGCACAGAGCGACCTCTGCTGGATAGTCAGTCCGCACTCAGCACTCTAAGTCACTCCAATATTGGCTAAATATCAATGTTCTCTGATGGCATAGATATAATAGGTTTAACTTCATCTGAACTCAGTGAATGTGAATTTGCTGAATCATGCTCTACTTATCTTGGACAAATAAAGATTAAAGCCAAAAAGGCCCAAATTAACAGACACTACCCTCTGAAATAACTTTGTGGTCAACTGCAGCTGCAGGTTGTGTGTTTTCTGGGAGGCACATGAGAAGCAGCGTGACTTCAGTCCTGTTCGAGGATGTTAATATGAACTAAGCAGCAACCATCATGACTGACTGTTAAAGCCACTTACAGACACTACATGCTGGAGGACTTCACTGAGGCTACAGTAACGCTTGGCTTTAATCCATCACAAAAGCTGCATTTGAATGAATTAAGAATTTCACAAATTCTGATAAAACGGTTGAGACTAAAGTTACATTGCCACAAATCAGACATGTATGAGGATGAGGACTGCATGTGAAAGCAGCACGACTGATAATTAAAAAAGTCAGATTCAGTGTAATTGTTTCTGTTCTCACTGTTGTACACTCTTGGCATGAATGTAGGTAGGTTTTCATCTTGAGCAGCTCTCCAATGAGATCGTCCTGTCTGCTTAAAGGGATGTTAAACACTGAAATGAGCCACAGTCACAAGCAGCTGGAAGTCACTGCTCTACGCACACATGTGCCACAAGGTGGTGCAAGTCTGTCTCTGCTCCGCTGTCACAAAATCATTGTAGTTAATACAACACATACATGCGCAGACAAAGTGCTGCTCAGACATTACTGTCTTTAAATGAAGACTTTAATGGCTGTGAAAAAAGGATATATTCACTGTTTTTAACCCAGGCTATACTAAAATGTTGCTTACTGTTATTGTATTATTATATACTTACCCAGTGTTGAGCTGGGATTGACTCCATGCAACCTAAAAGGATATTAGCTAATGGATGGACAGTTTAACAGACAGATTTTATTAGTAAAAATAAAGACTAATTTTTAATAACTGGAAACTCCCAGTATAGTTAAACACATCTTTACTGCACTGAAAGTGTACATGTACTGTTCATTAGCCAGGGAAAATAAAGTAAGAATGCTGGTCTTTGAGAAGAAGGTATAAACTTTTCTGAACTAAACTAGAAGGCTATGTTTTAAAAAAGGATCTGGATTAAAAAGTATGTCTATTAAATGAAATAATGACACTTTCTCTGTCTCTGTGAACTTCAGCAGACTGACTCATATCTGATATTTTAATAGGTTAATAACTAATAATAATTAATTCTGTATACCATTATAAACTTGTTACAGACACACACAAACACTTTCTCACACACTCATGCACACAGATACATGACACTCCCCCCTCACAGCTTATTCTCATTACCAGTGGTAATGTTGTCATAGGAGCCAGCAGCCAGCTGGAGCGTAGAAGTCATTTGGCTGGTGGATCTGGTTACACAGCGGCCTCACAAACACCTCATTCTCAGCAAACCTCCACCCCTGCATCTGAGGTCCAACATGTTTCACAAGCACGTTGCACAAGGAGGGCGGAGAGCTTTGGTGGGAGCGGTTTTAGTTCACTTTAACTTAGACAAAAAACAAAACATTAAAATGTCAATGTGATATTGGAAATAACTGCATGAAAAGCTTAATACTTGTTCCGAAAAACAATGGTTCAAATACAAATGTAGCTATTACTCCTTTGCAGGGTTTTAAGTTTAAATCAGCACTTGTTTGTACACAAATTGGATCCACAAACGTTTACAAGAAGCACTTCTGAATGACTTTAAATCACTTAAATGGAAGGGTTTGCATGTGTTGTTGAGGCAGTAACTCCTGCTAACAAAGTGGTCCCATGCATGGAGCGAATAGGAGTGAATTAAAAATTCAGTTCATTTAGTTTAGTTACTTTATGCTGATGGTGTTCCTAGTTGTGGAGCAACTGGTGTCGGCTCATGCAGTCTGAATGTGTTTTGTGGATTTGGAGAAGCTTTGTCATCGTGTCCCTCTGGGAGTCTTGTTCGGGTTGCTGTAGGAATATAGAGTGCTGGTACTGTATGACTAAAGAGAGAGTTGTAGGTTTTCTCACAGAAACTCATATGATTTCTCAGTGAGGGTCTGATTCCACCAAAGCCGCTTTTTGTCAGTGTTTGTGATTTTAATGGTCAAAATATGCGTGGACAGTGTCCAGTTGGATGACCCCGAGGATTGCATCTCCACTATTTGCGGACAATGTAGTTCTCTTGGCTTCATTGAACTGTGACCGACGGCATCCACAGCTGACTGTAAAGTGGTTCAGATGAGGGTCAGCACCTCCAAGTATTGCTGGCTCGTTTCTCATCTCTGCACAGCTGGCCAAATCGGTGTGAAATGAGCGTTAATGTCGGATCGTCTGGCAGAAACGCTCCGACAAAGCCCCCCTCTTCTGACATTGGACCATCACGCAAGCAGTTCTGATAGTATACTGGTCCGTTAATTCCATTTGAGTTAGACAGGGACCTTGTTTTGTCTTCACTAATGCAGGGGAATCTCGCATGATGGCCTTGCGTTGGTTTCATATTTCTGAATAACTGAGCCATCAGTGTAGTCCCAGGTCTGGAACTCAACCTCACCCAGTGGGGAAATTAAATAATATGAACCCACAGCTGGGGCCATCTGATATTGCCCTGCCTGTATATAAAATCAGCCAGTGGCAGATTACAGTAGCAATTGTCAGCATTTAAAATTCAATTGAATTTGCAACTGTCTGTCCGTACAAGGCATGTAGTGTAGTGTAAGTCTGGTCAATTTAATCAAACCCTTGTGTTGGAATTAAATGAATTTTACAGTGAGTCTGTAGACAAGAACTATTTATAAAATTGAAAAAATTAAAATAAATAGCTGATGTCATAGCGTCACCACTCTCGGTAGGTCAAATCAGTTAATTTTTTATATCTGATGATTTAAAGCCGCCCTGCGCTACACCTCCTTTCCCATGTGCCTGCCAACACGTCCGACTCAACTGTCTGCCCTGTGTTTAAAAAGACAAATATTTGCTTGTGATGTCGACAGCAGCGTGTCGGTCAGTTGATGTGAAATCATCAGGTCCAGTAAGTCCGTCACTCCCGGTGGCGGACTTACAAACATCAATAAGAACATATAAAACGATAGAAATACATGAATGAGTTTGGATTGGCAATCTGTGTGCAATTAATTCATCTAAATACTGCAATCACTAATGTTACAGTTAATGTTTGAACCCAGATGCACAATACATTATTGCTGTGTTGTATTTTGTGGAGTCTGTTAAGTCTGTGTGGTGTATGTGTTAGGCGTGTGGTGTGTGTGTGTGTGTTTTCTGAGCCTGTAAATGGTTAAAATAGCCACAGGAGACATGCTGCCTCAGAGAGTTTCCCTGTTTAGAGTGCTGGTCTCAAAACACACACTGCACACACATACAGTATATACACCACACATTTACCACATACAGTGCATATACAGAGCATTACCACACACACACACACAC